ACTGACATGCACTAAGTTTTTGGAAATAGAAGGGACTAATCTTTCAACGAATAAACGTTCCAGCTTGTCCGATTTTATTTCCAAAATATCTTTTACGCAAGAGAACTAAGACTGCTGACGCGAAGATGCGTTCTTTGCATAGTTTCCCGCAGTTTTTGTAGCTCCCAAGGCTTTAGCGCTGTAGCTTTTGTAGATCTTGAGATGGAAAACCGTGACAGATGTACACACAGACACACACAGATAACCCCTCGGCATTATGCGTTTTCTGCATTGCATAGCTGCAATAAACGCATAAAAATGTACAGAAATGTTTTTTTCACAAATTAACCGAAACTAGTTTCATAGCCTTCGTTCCTCTAACAACTGAAATATGCGGGGCGCACATGCGCACAGTCGTAGCCTCTACACAATAAACTTTAGCAGCGAATAGAAGAAAGAAAAGCATTAAAAAGAAAAAGCACGAACCACATTAGTTCCATACGTGCTGAAAAGAACAATGATTCATACGTGTTGAAAAGAATGAGAAATCAGGTTGTTCAAAAAAAAAAGAAATCGATTAATGAGAAATTGGAAAGAAATTGGAAAAGAAATTTACCAGCAATGAGAAATCACCTAGATTCATCAGCCTTTATACTAGGTTTGTTCATCATGCATTAGTAATCTTAAATGACCTTAAGTTTTATTCCTGGCGTAGTTAGCGTTGACCTTACCGGGTCGGAGACGTACGCATAATGGGCTAACGATGCGTACAATGTCGATAAGTTTTGGCGTTATGAGGCTACGAAGGAACGTTTTGCAGATTTTGGAAAGATGTCTTCGCCATACCTTCATTAGGTGCACATGAAGTATGAATTCTATTTTTTTTCTTTTTGATTACAGTACTATACTACTGTTTCATCTTTGATGAATTTTCTCTGTCAGTTGAATCGTAATGCACTGCATTTATAATTTTAACCCCCACGTCTCTTCTTTCTACAAATTTCGGAAATGCTGAAAAGCTATGGTCGTTAAATTCTTCACATGTGTTGCGCAAGTTGACAAGCAAGTAAACACGCACATCCATCGACCTTTTATGCGTTTTTTGCAGCTATGCACTGCAGAAAAAGCATATTGATGAGGAGTTGTCTGTGTGTCCGTGTGTCTATGCGTCTGTGTATCTGTGTTTCTGTGTGTACGTCTGTACCGATTTTTTATCTCAAGACCTATAAAAACTGCAGGGCTGAAACTTTGGGAACTTCATCTACATGCAAGTACGGGCCCCAAACCCTAAGATGGGCGCTCTTACCCGCGTGGTACCCACGTAGGGGCGCTTGAAAGTTTTTTCGGGTAAGTTGATAACTTGAGAACCAGAAATGCTGGAAGGCTGAAATTTTAAGGGGACGTTCCCCGTCCAAGTAGGTACTTCTGAGCCCAAACTCAGCCCCCGAGTATGCGTGGGACCCGCGTACGAGCCAGCCAAAATTTTCTTCGAGTAAGTTGCTAACTCGAGAATTTGAAAAACTGGAAGATTGTAATTTTAAGACGATATTCCCTGAGTCTCATTGAGCTCGTACCCAGCCCCTAGGTATGAGTGGTATTCACGTGCGAGGTTGCCAAAATTTTCTTCGGATAAATCGATAACTTGGAAGTTTGAAAAACTAGAAGGCTGTTATTTTAAGAGATTATTCTCCGTCCACCTAAGTCTCATTAAGCTCATACCCAGCCGTCGGGTATGTAGTGCTACCTACATACGGCCCCGTGAAAGTTTTTTTGGGTAAGTTGATAACTCGGGAACCTGAAAAGCTAGAAGACTGGAATTTTGAAGGGATGTTTCCTGACAGTCCTGGCGACCAGTCTGAAATTCTTTTAGCTAGAAGCATCTACCAAAAAACAAAAACCGTGCCGTTAGCGACAAAAATCTGCGGGGAGCTATGCAAAAAATGCATCTTCGGTTGCCCGCGCGTTCGCAAGTTATTCCGTATTTGTGCTGCAGCGCTTTGTGCCGCAGCAAAAACCTATTTTACGACGACTCACATTGTGTATTTATGTTCATTTTCCCATGTATTTCAGTTTGCCAAGCAATCAGACCTAGGTGTTGAAGTTTTCGTGAGCTAATAGCAAGCCTCTGGTATTGCATTTGGCCAACCAGAGGCTTGCTATTAAAGCTAATAGCAAGCCTCTGGTTGGCCAAATGCAATACCAGAGGCTTGCTATTAGCTTTAACTTAAGTTTTCGTCATACTTGCAAATAAGTGTGATTTTTGATGGGAAAATTTTCTCGGAAATCTGAAACGCTAAGAAGCTGAAATTTTAGGAGAACACTTAATCCCCTCCCAACTTAGCAAATTTCTTTTTTCTCATAGATGTTACTTTTAGCAATGAAAGCGCTGATATAGATGTTACTTTTAGCCGTTGGAAATGCTGATGCGTTGCAAATAGTCTAAAAATTGGTTCAAGTGTTCTTTATATAATAGCATTATCAATATTTTATAAATAGCTCAAAGCGAAAGAAGCACTGGTAAATCACTATTTTCCAAAATGAGACAACACTTCTGGAATCAAATTAGTAGGATCACGATGAGGCAAATTTTCTGGAAACTGATAATTAGGCTCTCATAGTGAATTAACCGTACGAAGTCAATCAGGAGAATTACAATTTGAGGCAACTTCTCCAGAAACGCTTTAAGTTATGAAATTGTACAGCTTGTCCGGAACGATTCAGTCTACCAGCTTATGAAATGAGGCAAATTTTTCAAAAATGTATCAGCGGAGTCATAATAAGATAAAACTACTCCGAAATCGGATCAGTAGGGTCACGAAATGAAGCGCAGAGATGCGCAATGGAGAGCCGTTGATTTCCATAAATTTAAGCTGGGGTTTTTTGCGACACAACGTTTTTTAGAATATTCATAATGTAGTGAAAAATTTGCATATATCACACATTACTGCTACTGTTGCGTAAACCATCTTTTTTTCATGCACTTCACATAATCATCAAGTGAACAACGGCTAAACAAATTTGCTGACGGATACGGTAGCGCCGGCGAGCATGTTGATTTGTGGCGAAATGGGTGCTTAGCATTGTATAACTGCAAAACGGACTAGAAACCTTGAAAAAGATAACAAATACTAAAAACTGAAAAAACTAATAAAAGGCTTGAAAATTTTGTGAAACCCCAAAACCTTAAAAATAATTTTAAGAATTGGAAAAATTTGGAAAAGCTTAAAAACAGAATGTCAGGCAAATTTTCATTTTTGGATAATTGTATACAAACCTGCACATCTTGCCTGGTGGAAGTTGGGCTTGTTTCAATTTCTGGCGCTTTTTCAGCACGAATACCACTGATTTTGAGACGCGCTGGTAGTTCACCGCCACAGTGTAGTTTTATTTCAAGCAGTTTG